GTACATTAACAAATCAGTAACTTATCAGATGCCTCACGCACCTCAAGTGGGTGCTCGCCTGCAGCCATCTAGATGGCTGTTGTGAGATCTCACTACTGGTGGCATGGCACCTAGGCGGCACCTAGGAGTCGCAGGCCTGCGGCTATATGCCGCATGCGTGGCAGGACAGGGCATGACGTGGCACTGCCACATGGCATGTGCAGCTGTCCAACAACAACACTGCAGCAAGCTGCGCTGCGAGGTTGCCACAAGCAATAGGATTAATCAAAGCTCTACTAAAGACACGCATTACTGGTCTACTCAGGACTCCACACTGTTGCTGCCACACCAGGCCAGACAGTGAGCCCAGTGAGGGCGCAGCGCTGCACACAGCATGAGATGCAATGCTGTGCTGAACTGTACCATGCATCTCTGGACACAACATATTGCATCGCACCCTTCCCAATCCTGCAGGCTCTACACGGCATGGCCTGAGCTCTGCTGGGCTGATGCCAAGACGATCCATCACTTGGGGGCTCATTGCTGGCGATGTAGATGTCAAGGTCATCATTGCACATTGGGTTGCCCTACACCACCCTGAATGCCGCTGCATCCACTGCCCCTGCAATATCAGCAGGTGGCTATCTAGTCCTCAAACAGCCGCATTCTTACTTGAGGCTGAACCTGTTATGCAGCAGCACTGCTGCTCATTGCGAGCTCATTGTGCTGCAGCAGCGCAGTTGGAGATACATGCCTCATCAGCACGTCCTGCACGGTGGTAGTGGCGGCGGCAGCGGCAGCAGCAGCAGCAGTGCTGAGTGGCTTGGCTCAGAAGTCTGAACAAATGCATTTACTATGTGCACACACCAACGTGACTCCTGCTGGTTGCCGCCTCAGCAGCAGTTTGAATCTGACATGTTACCTTCAATGGCTTTCATGTCATGAGCTGGCAGCTGATTGCTGCAATGCCCGCTGTGTGGTTGTTGAGTCGTGCAGCGTGCCCCGCATTGGCCTGGCAGCAGCTGCGAGACCAGCAAGCGGCTTTGTGTGAACTCACAAGCCTCTTGTCGGCAGGCGCCTTCAAGGAGCTGCGTGGCTTTGAGGCCGGCCGGGCCGGCTGTTCAATGCGCATCGCCTCCATCAGCTGCTGCAGCAGCTGCATGCGTGCCTCTGCAAGCTCCTGCTGACTCAGCACATGCTGCGCTATGGCCGTCACGTCACTATCTGTGATGTTAGGGCAGCCAGCGACAGAAGCAAACAGGTCGGCCATGGTGGCCTGTCCGGCAACCACTGCTTTGCACATGTGCGCGAGCACCAGCATCTGCAAAGCACATTGCAAGAACAGCAACAGCAGCAAGAGATGAGGGAGCCTATCGACGCTGGCAAGCGAGCGGACAGGCACTATGAAGTGTCCACCGTGGCAGGAGCTGCAGCACACTGACTTGATAGTAGTTTGAAGCAATCACTACATTCAAACGACTGGCAAAGTGACCGCCTTTTGTAGCACACCCACATGCATGCTCGCTGCTGTTGATCAACATGACAGGACTGCCGGCCATGACAGGACTGCCGGCCATGCCTTTGCCAAGCAGCAATAGATAGATAGAAAGAGGGGTTACACGGTGTGTTCATGCGGCATACGCCACCACAGACACCTGGTAAAATAGGAAGCTGCAAGCAGCTCAGCTCGGGCTGTCACTCTGAGGTTTTAACCCCAGAAAAACCTCTGTGCCTAAGGTACGATATTGGTCATGCTAGCATAACCGTCTTCCTTACGAGTAGAAGTACGCCTTCCTTACAAGCAGCAATCCGCTTAGTCACAAGCCAGCCGCGGGGTGCTTCAAGATGCTGCTGCTTGACTGCCCACCATTTAAGCCTCACTCACCCTGCACTTTGTCACGTTGAAGCTGCCTGCACCTGACACTCCCCAGCCTTTCAGCAGCTCCTTCAGCGCGTCATGCTTCATGCCATGCAGCCACAGGCGAAGGGCTTGAGCCGCGGCAGCAGTGCAGCCTGTGCCCCGGGCCGCGGCCGCCAGGCTGATGATCGGCCCGACTGCTGCCCAGCCTTTGTCGATGATGGCGTCAAGGTTGTGCGCCTTTGTGCGCGGTTGTGCTGGCGGAGCCAGGGTAGCTCCTGCAACAAACCCCATTCTGCTGCTAGGTCTGCTTGCTGCCTCTGCTGCCCCGCCGCGCGGGGTGTAGCTGCTGCCCAAAGTATTGGCGTGCGCTGGCAGCAGCTGCGGTTGTGTTGCCTCGGCATCCGTGTGCACTGCAGCCTCCTGGCCGCCATGCTGAGCTGGGAGTGCAGGCAACTTCCTGAAGCTGCTGGCAAGTACCTGCTTGCCTTGATAGCGCACCATGTAGTCTGGCCGCACGCCGCCATCGCCGCCATTCTGCTGCTTGTTGGCCGCGAAGTTCATCACGGCCAGCCCGCCAGCCTCGACAGTCTCTGAAAGTAGATGACCAGTGGGGAAACAGCTGCAGCCAGCAGCAGCAGCAGCAGCCGACAGCAGACAACAAGCAGCAGGACTAGTTGGAGGGGCTTGTATGCCAGTCTTTATTTATGGAGCACCACCTGCTGCATTGTGGGCAGTTGGCGGCAGATTTCAATCACAACAAACCCTTGTTACAGCGCTTGAAGGGTGCTGCTGCAAAAGCAAGCCGTCACCATCATGCTAGCTTACTGATTCAACCACAGCCGATGTGTGATGGCAGCTGGAAGATGCGCATGCTACTGTATGGTCTTCTTTCACATGAAAGGCGCTTGCAGCAAAACAGAATGTGCATGCTTGACGTTTGTGACGTGTCGTGCAGGTTTACTGAGCCATGTTGCTGACTCATGCACGGCGTACGGGGTGGGCCTGCCAGCTTACTAGTCAGCAGGACAGGCAGACTCACAAAATGGCCACGTCGAAGCGCCTGTCAGCAGCATCCTTGAACATGGCGCACTTGCAGGATGAGCCTGCCGTATGTGCTGTGGCTGGTGGTGTGTCGCAGCAGAATATGCCGTTGACCGTGTCCAGGTACCTGCTGCAGCGCTCGCCAATGGATGTGGATGCCTTTCCAATGTAGAGCGGCGTCCACTCCCACGGCAGTGCCCCTGGGGGCCTGACACACGGCACATACACGCCCTCGTCAGGCGCAGCCTTCTTCAGCTCGGGGCGAGTGGTGATGAGCCCGCCGCCAGCGGCTACCTGCACCAAGTAGGGCTGCTGCAGTGGCAGGTGGCAGGATGTGCTGAGTTAGCACGGCATTGTTTTTGCATGAGTAGATACGTAGCTGTGTGCCACTGCAGTGTACAAACTGCTGCGAAGGTAAAAAAAACTGCAGGGCGCTGCGTACATGCTGACAGCTGCACTATATGGGTGCTGGTGTAGTGTGTGTGCTGATGTTCAAGTTTGTATTAATGACTCAAGCCCAGGTGATGTGTGGTGGTGTGCTGCGTGACTGGGCAGAGCACCTGCACAGTTGCATCTCGGTCCACTGGCCGTCTGACACCGCATAACCACTCGGCACATCAACAGCACCTCTGCAGCAGCTCCTGGTCGCTGCGGCTGTGTGGCTGCCAGACCAACAGCATCATGCAGATGGAAAACACCTGGGTAGGTGAACAGATATGCTTCACCTTTGCTCTGGCCAGCCCTTCACCCGCAATGCCCTTCATCACCGCCTCCAACTCCTCAAGGCTCAAGTGCTCCGCGCGGACTTTATGGGCAGGCCTTGCCTCCCTGCTGGCCCTTGCGCCTTTGGTTGCAACATCGTCCAGCTGTGTCATGGGCCAGCTCAGGCTGGCATTCCGGCTCAACTCAGTGCATGTACTCGCACTGCTGCGCATGGTCACCGCGCTGAGGGCGCGCGTTGTGCCACTGCTGCTCATCCAGCTGCTGGTGTGGCTCGACAGGCTGACTGCATGTGGTGCAGGTATGAACCTGCCACTGCTGGAGGTTATTGCTGTCTGGACGCCCTTATGTCCGCTTCCATTGCAACCAACAACACGTGGCACAAGGCTGCCGAAGTTGGTGTCTGCTGCTGGCGGCGTCACCCTGGGGAGGGCAGCGCTGCTCAGGCTGGCCTGAGCACGCAGTGCAAGGTTTGCCATTGGTGCCAATGCACAAGCAGGGACGCTGCCAGGCACTTTATCAACTAGTTTAGGTAGCAAAACGGTCACTGCAGGGGCTAACGCGCGTATCAATGCTGTCTTGGAGCAAAGACGAATAGCAGTACACACTTGAAGTGCATGTACCATCATTGCTAGCTACATGAGACACCATTGCCTATACTAAACATCATGGAATTTATTTAAATGTTTTCGTTTAATACATCTGTGATGTCGTCCTCCTGCATTGCTACAGCACGCGGCGATCGAAAATAGCGACGGTTCGTCCTCACGCCCCGATCTGGGGTCCACCGAGGAGGCAGCATGCAAACAGGCGCTTTATCTGCACGTAATTAACGTTTATGCCGATGTATCTGGCGTGGATGTGGCGCCTGCAGCACTTCAGGGTCACCCTGCAGCCTGCATGCGCATGCAGTACTGCTATACTGCGCAGCACTGCAGTACTGCTATACTGCGCAGCACTGCGCCTTGGATCTCCACTGCACAATGATTGCTGCCAACGACAAGATCACAATAGTGCTTGCAGAATTCGATTTTTCAACTCCATAGTACCGCTGCTGTGCAGAACAAGACTGCACATTCATGCTGGACGCAGCACCAGCCTGGCGTGACAGCAATGTAGCCTAGTAGGGAACGTACTAGGGCGCAGCACAACGACGCCTGCAACAACAGCCTTCCACATATGGCTTGCAATGTGAGCATGAAGTTCAGCGATCTGTGATATGGTGAGGAACTTTCTGCAGATTGCCACGTCACTGTTTAGTTGCTGCGTCATGTACTTCAGGTTTTCAGCAGCTAAACGTGCAGGTCAACTCATACTTCAGTCTGACGACGGAGGTAACCAGCAACCAGCAAAACGTGACCAGTGGAGAAAGCAGCAGATCACAAAATGCAAAAGCGGCTGCGTCCGCCGGGAATCGAACCCGGGTCCCTACCGGTCTCCAGAATCTCCCTCGTTGGGAGGGTAGGATGATAGCCACTACACTACGAACGCGGGGTCAAATGTGCTGCCATGCACTGGTTTCAGAAAAATTAATGCGGTTTTGCTGTTCTCACATCAGCCGTTGTCAAATGCATTACGTGTCTGGGCAGCTACCTGGGGCTGTGGTGGTGCCCGTACTTGTGGCGACAGTGTAGCCATCTGGTGGAGTTGCTGCATGTAGGTAGCGGTAGGAGTGGTTTTTGTTTTTGTAGGTCAGCTTAGCTAGCCGCAGCGGTAGGAGTGGTTTTCTTCTTGCTTGGATGTAGTACAGCCTAGTGCTTGTCATGCAGCAACAGCAGTGTGGTGTTGCAGCCAGGTCTCTGTAAGTGTGTATGCTTGCATGCCCTATCATGCCGTGCGCTTGCATGCTTGCTTGCCATGCCATGCTGTTCCTTGGAGGCGGCCACTCCGTTCTGCTGCAGCATTGTGGTCAATTTGCTAGGCGGGCAGTAAGGCTGCAGACTTGCTGTTCCGTCGTGATGGTGGTGGGGGACGGAGTTGGAATTGAAACCCTACCTGGCTGGTATGATACGCCAGTTCAAGAGGCTGGAATTGCCTGGCCCCCATGTGTAACAAACACAAAGAGACAGCATTTCGAACCCGGGGGGGCCCTGAGCAAGGCGTAAAAAGGCTTGGCTTGCTTTGCCCTCTGGCCCAGCCCAGTTGCGGCCCGCGAGTCGGAAGACCGTCTAGTGCAGCTTCTTTTAATGCTGGAAGCTATATTAGATAAGAGGAGTGGCGTCCTGCAGGCCGATACTGCCTGCCTACGCAGCTACGCCGGGTCGCCGAAGAGACAGCACAGTTGACAGCCGTGCAGCGCGCAGTGGAAGCCCAGGCAGTCGGCTACAACTTCAGGAAGATGTGCTCAGCAATAGTTTAGTTGTGAGCGCTCGCTGGTACCCAAGCTGGCGCCTGGAGTTGTGTCATGGTCACAGCAGTAGGGCTACAGCAGAAGCAGGCAAGGTGCTGGTAATGCTCGAGGTGCTGCGGTGCCCTTGCAATCGCCTTTCACCACATGATGTGATTGGCTAGGCAACCCCTTGTGACTGTTGAGCGTGCTGGACTGCTGGTTCAGTGTCTGGAGTGTCCTTAAATTCCTTCTGCAGGCTGCTGCAGTTGGTGGCCTGCAGCGGCAGCAACGTGTTGCAGATGATGACCCCTGCAACTGCTGCTATGGATCAGTGGATTGCCTGCCAGTAGTGCTGTCTGGGCAGTGTACTTTATTTGGTTTGTGTCTGCTGCGCGTAGGGAGCAGCAATGTGCTTGCATTCGCATTGCTGTTCTCACATCAGCCGTTGTCAAATGCATTACGTGTCTGGGCAGCTACCTGGGGCTGTGGTGGTGCCCTTACTTGTGGCGACAGTGTAGCCATCTGGTGGAGTTGCTGCATGTAGGTAGCGGTAGGAGTGGTTTTTTTTGTTTTTGTAGGTCAGCTTAGCTAGCCGCAGCGGTAGGAGTGGTTTTCTTCTTGCTTGGATGTAGTACAGCCTAGTGCTTGTCGTGCAGCAACAGCAGTGTGGTGTTGCAGCCAGGTCTCTGTAAGTGTGTATGCTTGCATGCCCTATCATGCCGTGCGCTTGCATGCTTGCTTGCCATGCCATGCTGTTCCTTGGAGGCGGCCACTCCGTTCTGCTGCAGCATTGTGGTCAATTTGCTAGGCGGGCAGTAAGGCTGCAGACTTGCTGTTCCGTCGTGATGGTGGTGGGGGACGGAGTTGGAATTGAAACCCTACCTGGCTGGTATGATACGCCAGTTCAAGAGGCTGGAATTGCCTGGCCCCCATGTGTAACAAACACAAACAAAAAGGGGGTGACGATGCTAATAAGCTGAGCATCCCGCCGCCCGCCCTGGCCGTGCAGCAGCCACCGCCGCTGCCGGCGGGCCAGGCGCTTATTACTGATACACTACAGCATGCAGCTCTCACTGCTGCGCAGCAACAGCATAATCAGCTGGTAGAGCAGCGCCGACAGCAGCAGCAGCTGCATCAACAACAACAGCGACAACAGCTGGTAGCGCAGATGTTACAGGAGGCTAAGCAGCAAGCGGTGTTAAGGTTTTGGGAGTTGCTTGCTGATTTTGTGGCAACAGAGGCAGCGCCCGCTACTTGGCGGGTTGCGGTGCCTGGCAATCACCCGTTTCTGTGCTCTGATCCAGCGCAGCTGCGCATTGTACTGGCGCCCCGCTCTGGTTGACCTTCCTGCCTCTGCATGTTGTGCTGTCAGCAGTTGTCGATTTTCCAGTTTCTGTCAAGGACATGTTGCATGTGTTGGGTGTCACAGCGCTGGTTTCTCAGCTCTTTCCTCCGTGCTGCATGTTTCTGTCCTTGTCAGCCGTAAGGATTGCAGAAGCAGCAGAGCCCTAGTTTGCCTTAGTTTGCCTTAGTTTGCTTTGATTTGCCTGTCAGTCGTGCACTGCGTCAGTTATGCATGCTCCTGCTTGCTGCAGTCTGGTGAGTACAGCAGTGCCTTGATGCAATCATGCCAGACATTCATGGTGAGCAGCACCTTTGTGCACCCCGCTTACTGTTTTGACCATGCTTGTCCTTCCCTGTGCGCTTTTTGCCTGGTGCGTGGAGCACATGCTGCTTTTCGTGCTGCTTTTCGCACTTGCTGCCCTGCATGTACATGTTCGTTTATGGGGAGATAGGGGCTGCGAGACGCCTCTGGAGTTTTCTTTGGTGGCGTCTTGTGGCTTGCTATCGAGTTCATATGATATGTGAGCTGAAAGTAGGGCGAGTGACTCACTCTCGGGTGATAGCTTGCCTTCTCCTGTAACAAGCCTCTCCGGGTGACGATATGTGAGCTGAAAGTAGGGCGAGTGACTCACTCTCGGGTGATAGCTTGCCTTCTCCTGTAACAAGCCTCTCCGGGGGTGTGCTTCTCCTGTAACAAGCCTCTCCCGTGTGCTTCTCCTGTAACAAGCCCCTCTCCCGGGGTGTGCCTCTCTCCGGGGTGTGCAGCGTGTTCTGCTGCAGGGCCTGGGGTGGAGCATCATTTTTGGACATGTCCTGTTGCTGTGGCGGTGCGGCGTGAGGTGGAAAGTCAACTAAGGGCGTTCAACTTGTTGCCGGCAGGTGCTGTACTGCCGTGCCGAGCTATATGGTTGGCGTGCCCACCTCATAGCGCTGTACATCGGTTGGTGTGGGACATGGTCTGTCTTGCAGCAGTGCATGCTTTTGAGAAAGGCCGCAGGGCAGCGTGGGCTGTGTCAAGTGACCTTGGGGTACCCCAGCTGGTGGAGCAAGTGGCTGTGAGAGCAGCAGTAGGTGCTTTTTGGGATGCACTTGCGGACTTTGCTGCTACGGCTAGGGTGCCGTCACGGTATAGAAATCGGCTGCTCACACAACAGCCTTTTATTGCCTGGCATACTGTGTTGCGTGGCAATGGTTTGTGTGTGGTGCGGCGGTGATGGCCTTCTTCTCACGGTGTGTACGTGCTTTCTCTGTGAGCTTCTGACATGCCAGAGCTAGCTGTCTTGCTTTGCAGGAGCTGTGCGTTGCCGTATCGCTGCTGCAACATGTAGTTGTGCGGCCCTTGCAGCAGCTGGCTTGTTCTCTGCTCTCTCTCCCCAGTTTGTCGCCTCAGACCACCGCCTGCCAGGCTGTGTTGCTGCTGGTGGGTGTTGTTTCTGTGGGTTCAGCCCGCCCGCTGCACTGCATAAAGTGCAGCTTGCTGTCACTGACACTGTTTACACTAGTCCTGCCTTTGTTTAGCATCAACACTGCGTGTGCTGTGACTGACGGCTTTGCCTGCAAGGCCATATGTCAAGTTACACACACAGAGAGACTTTCTGGGGTGAGTCTCCTTGAGTGACAGCCTGTTTTGCTGAGTCATCTGCGACGTTCCAGATTTTCGGGTGTTCGTTGCAACGTAGTTGCCTGTGCACACCGTTAAACCCCTCTTCTTCTTTCGGCAACGAGCACACAAAACAAGGGCATGTTTTGCTGAGTCATCTGCGACGTTCCAGATTTTCGGGTGTTCGTTGCAACGTAGTTGCCTGTGCACACCGTGTAACCCCTCTTCTTGGGGCATGTTCGTTGCAACGTAGTTGCCTGTGCACACCGTGTAACCCCTCTTCTTCTTGGGGCATGTTCTTGCGGTTCACGTTTGCTCGTCATAAAAAAACAGCAACTGTTTTTGCAAAACCCAATGCTGCAGCAATTGCGTAGGGCTGGGCCGCGGCCTCAGCAGCCTGCTGCTCAGCAAGACACACACGCTCACGCTGGCGGGGGCGGCGGGCGGCAGCGGCGCGGCGCCGGGCGGCGCAGCCAGTGCGCGGCGGGCGCTGCCCACGCTGGCCAGCGTGGCCAGCACACTGCTGGGCAGCCGCAAGGAGAGGTGCGTGTGGCAGCTCTGCAGGAGACGAAGATGATGTGGTACTAGGATATCATGCAACAACACCCTGCTGGGCTGCTGCAAGGAGAGGTGCGGGGCGCAGCTGCGTCTGTGGGTTGCGCTCGCGACAGCAGCCTGCTGACGTGGCATGCATATATTGCCCGACAAGCAAAGCCGAGTTTGTGCTGCTGGCCATGCTAATTCATGCACCTTGCGTTGCTTCACATTATGAACACGTGCAACGCACTCCTGCAGGCTGCCTGGCTGCGACGCTGTGTCGTGTGCACAACTTCAACACCTACGCATGTACCAGTAGAATGTAACTGTGCGTCTGCTGCCTCTGTTTCACTGCTTGTGTGCAGGGCCACGCCGGAGCCGGTCACTTCGGTACGGCTGCCGCAGCCACCAGCAGATGCGGCAGCTGCTGACAGCTGATATCTCAGATCAAGAACTTTGAAGTTCAGCGCTGCAGCTCATGGGCACAGACACCTTGGCAGGGCTGGACCACAGCACCAGGCCGGACCCAGGCCGGTTGCTGCGGCTGCACAGCGCACCAAGTTGCAAGCCGAGCTGTCTGCTGGCCACAATGACAGCACTCCGGCATTTGTGCCGTGCATAGGCTTCCAGACCCTCAATGTACGGTGTATTATCCTTTATTCCTGTATGGCAGCAGCGTGT